GCCTTTTACCCCCGGGAGACGCGCGACCGGGCACTGGCGTTTGCCGACGCCCTGGTGGCGGCGCTCGGACCGGACCGACCCTTGTCCACGGCCGCGTTGCAGCACTACTTTGTGACCCAACGACGGAGCACTGCCGACGGGGCCATCGCCAACGTCGACCGAGTGGCCATTGAGATCGATGCGCGGAAGAAAATGGCCGAAGAAGAAGCTGAATCGGATGATGATGAAACTGAAGGAGACGACAAGGACGACGAAGGAAAGGATGATGTGGGTGCAAATAAGACTGCTCCATGAAATACAGGATGGTCTCGTCATCAACCGCAAGTTTTCATCGAAATCGTCCGGCTACGTTTGCCACACTAAATTAACGTATAAGCAATCTTTTACCCGACACGTTTTGATAATAGTGGTAAAATATCCGACATCAAATACTCTAACAAGTTCCAGCTAGAGAATGGAGATAAGCCAACAAATTTCCTAATCTAAGTAAGAATTAAATCACCTGACATCGGACTGCAGATACGCAACTTGTCAAACGCAAACATCAAAGACCCAGAGGGAACAATACCCGTGTGCTTCCAACAATTTTGAATTGTCGCGGTCGTGGCACAGGGACACCGAACTCCCGCAAGACCCACGCTGACGTGGCAGTGAACGTACGGCCGCCGGTCGCGAGGTGATACGCTCGTATCTTGGCCTTTTGACCCAAGGTCAGGCGTGGGCTATTGCTTGGTGGGATCTGCATTCAACCAGCGAAGATTTGCACGCGTTTGAAATTCAAATCGACACACTTCCTGTTATATCTAATATCGTATTGTGTTACATAGGATATTATTTTATACCAGTTTGCAAAAATCGGGGGATGATTGTAAATAATTCGAAGTACTACGTAGTATTGCCCTTTACCCAAAATTTGGACTTACAGTTAGTATACATAAATGAAACCTACAACTAATTCTATTTAAATTTAAGATTTTTTTTCTGTATTTAATAAAGTTAATAAAGTTAATAAAGACATTTGGCGATAAGCTACAGCTTGTTTAGATAATACCAGTTGGTGTTTGGTATCACACTAATTAAAGTCACACACTAATTTGACGCTGTTCTTGGTTCCTGCAATCTGATTGGCTAAATCCTTCTGCCGATTCTTCGGTACTGTACATTTGGTTCTGTCGATTCATTCGGTATGTCACTCCAGTTTCGCAACAATATATGTTTAGAATAAACACAATATATATAGTATATGTCGAAACACTTGTCCTAAAACTGCGCCTCCGTCACCCCGTGGCCCATCGTGTTGGTCGAGCTCAACCCTCCAGTCACCGTGTTCTGCATCGCGTCAATCAGCTCCGTGCCCGACCAGCCCTGGTGCTTGAGCGTCTCGACGCCCTCCGTGCGCTCCGCCCGCTGGATGCCCGTCACATACGCAAGCATCTTGCGCTCGGCGAAGTCGCGGGCAAAGCGGGTGATGCCCAGCGAGTCGCTGTGGAACCCCGCGAGCGTGATAAACTGCCATGTGTAGCCGAGGGTGGCCAGCTCGTCGATGAACGTCCGAATCTCCGCGTCCGACATGCCTGCCGCGTCCCAGTTGAACGACGGACTCAAGTTGTACGCGAGCATCTGATGCGGGAACTGGCGGTGCACGCCCGATGCAAACTGCCGGGCGAGCGGCAGCCCCGGCACCGTGGTCTCCATCCAGATCAAATCCGCGTACGGCGCATAGGCCTTGGCGCGGGAGATGCAGAACTCGACGCCGCCGCGCACGCGGTAGTAGCCTTCGACCGTGCGCGCCTTCTCCCAGCAAAACGAAGACACGGCCAGCCCCAGCACATCAATTGCATACGCCTTCATCGCGCTGAAGTCGGCAAACTCGTGGCGCTTCCATGCAGCCAGTCCCGCCGCGTTCCCCGTCAGCTGCCGCGCAACGTACTCGGTAAACGTCATGCAACCCGCGTCCTTGTCCCACGTGTCAGCGCGACCGTTGCGCACCGCGTCGGCAAACGACTCGACGTTCAAGTTGGTGGCGCCAAGGATGAACGGATGGTCGCGGCCGTCCGAGTTGTTGTCGAGGAGGGTTGCCGCCTCGGCGTCCGTCCGGGCGATGATGACCAACGGCACTTGGAGGACGTCGGCTTGCAGACGGGCGGCGATGAGGCGGGAGATGTGCTCCTGCGTCGTCACGAGCACCTTGCCCCCCATATGGCCGCACTTCTTGGTGCCAGGCTTTTGGTCCTCCAAGTGGATGCCGGCAGCGCCGCGCTCGGCAAACAGCTTCACCAACTTCATGCACGCCGTGAGTCCACCGTGACCCGTGTCCGCGTCGGCGACGATTGGGCGCAGGTAGTCGATCGCGGGGGTGGCGGCGCGCTCCGCGGGACTCATTCGCCGGCGGGCTTCGTACTGCTTGCGGTCATGGAAGCATTGCGCGCGGAACAGTTGGTCGCATTTGTTCGGGACCGTGTCCATGGGGTAGTCCGCAACGTCCGGGCCGGGTTCGTTGGTCGATGACGCAGTCGACGACGACTGCCACCCCGAAATGTACACGGACGTCAAGTGCTTGGCCATTTGGACCACTTGGATCGTGTCGAGCGCGCCAAACGTGTGGCTGCATTTGCCCTGAGCCTGCAACTGACGCAACATCGAGTACAGCTTGGTCGCTTGCGTTGTGGATGCATACGACTGAATCACCGTGCCTTGGAGCTTCACCACGTCTTCGGCGTTGTACTGACGAGTGGTGTGGCGGAAGCGTTCTTGGTTCATAAACGCTTGCATTTCCTTTACACGAGACGCATACAGGCTGTCTTCATCGACGAGGGAGGCGGAGATGCTGAGTTGGCTGCCGACCTGCTCGATGCGGCGCGCGGACGACGACGAGGAGCGCTGTTGGTGTTGTTGGGGACTCATGCTGTTGGGAAATGACCGACGCAGTGACGGCGGGCGGGCGACACAGGCAATCGCGCAAACAACCGGAGGGTCGGAACCTGTCAAATTCGATAAACATGTCCACCAATCACAGCGTCGTATAACTGCAATGCGCGGAATGTAGCCAATGAAAAGCCGAGGTTGGGGTTCAGATCGAAAGCAACACTGCGACGTCACCGGTTCAAGTTGAAGCTGAAAGATAGGGCCGACGGCCTGCCTTATTGGACCTTTGGGCGGCAGAGAAGGGCAAGTTGCCCATTTGATTGGACCGTTAAGTAGTGTTGAATCAACATGGCCAAAGTGTATCTTGGGAAGCTTTTACTCGTGGTACATATGTGTGCAGTGAACGGCGTAGGAGAAGGGGGGGGGTCAATGGTACAATCCGACGAGGGTCAGTGGACGGAAAATGACAACAGAAGCTACTTTATTGATGTAGAAGTGTGGAGAAGATCCGCCGTTATAGTATACCAGTAAGTAGACCAGAAACGAGACATTGGAACTGAAAGGTCGGACATTATGTCCAACTTTTTTCACTGCGCTGATTGACTGACACAGGTCTGTGGAACTTTATATATGTATGAACGCGTCGACACCGTTATTATCCGGAGAGTACCAAGCATTGGACAGTATAGTAGTGGGGGGGTTGTGTGTTGTGGGTTCCCATGATGAGCTACGATGAACATGGAGGTTGATGGCATTGAAGTTGATCGCAACGAAGCACAAGATGGAGTATGTGGAGAGCGTCGAAGCGCAGCGCAACACCAACTGGTATTCCGTTGACGAAACGGCGGGTGTAGTCAGTATGAAATGCGAGAGGTGCTGGAATATTGAATGTTGAGGGTTTTGAAACCGCTCACTGAAACTCTGAAACGCTTCTCCACAAATGGGACGATGAGGATGTGGATCGGCGCGATGCTTGTTGGTATCTTCGTCGCTGCGGAACAGGTCGAAGACATGACAGTACGTGTGCAAGAACAATAGTGTCTTGAACAGTGACGCGGAAGGATGTAGGCAACCAATCGAGTGTACGGCACAATCTGGCGAAAAGGTACTGCAACACGTCCATGGGTGTTCGAAGTGGCCCACCAAAATCTCATGCAGATTTGCGAATCACGGGAGCTCAACTGCTCGGATCGTGCTTTCAAGGGTACGGCCTCTTTGGGTGCAGCAATTACAACTCGACGTCGGATCGTACGGGGGTGTCCAACCAATTCCTTCCTTCGATCTCGTACTGCGTCAACTGCTGCGGCAATCCCACCGCCACTGGGTACGACATTCATGTCACGCCCATGCACCTACAACACATGTGCATTGTATACAGAACTGACGAGACGTGGGACTTGGTGTGTCCGCTGACTGCGCTGCAGCGATCGTCAGTGATCAACGACGCCGGCAAGCGATTTGTGTTTGCAAGGCGGCAGACCGTCACCGACGAGTCCGTGGTATTCATCACATCCACACGTTCCCAATCTCGACCATGTATCGTGAAAAGCACACAAGGTGATGATGTCATGCACAGGTCACGTGCGAGTGGCCGCATCGCAACGCGTCGCTCTTCCTCGCCGGCTACGTCGTGGAGCTTAACGTGTCCATGTACAGCGACAACCACGGGTGGTCGTTTTGGGTTGGCGTCGACAGTTGCGCCGTCTCAGCCGTCGAATCCAGCGCCACGCCCATCACGTTTCACGAGCGCATTCGCATGGTCACCACGCGGCCGCAGTACACTCCGTCGTCGACGTGGTTCATCCTGCTAGCTGCGACATTGGTACACTATGACGTACACATACATCCCCCCGACAACACAAGTAAAGCCAACTACCGACTGACTGGACATCTATGTTCCAGGTCGCGGTGGCTTATACGTCATGGGTGGTCTACCGCGGGTACTTCAAAGGTGAACACTGCATCAACTGCGCGTCCAAGTTCGTTGTATGCAACTCGCTTTGCGCCATGTGCATGCTCTGTGGGTGCCGGCTCCACGCGCCGCCGCCCAAAGTGTTTTGCGCCGACACATTCGTCGAGTCCTCGACCAACGCCACCCCGACATGAGTTAGTAGGACGCTTTGGACCAACTTTTCCTTGTTAAATAGTACTAGTGTAACCACCACAACCTTCTCATACACCTCCGTCGACTAGACCAGCCCCCCGTGGTCCTGAAAAGTGGGCTTTGGCGTCGTTGTCTTTCCGCTCTTTCGACGGGCATATGTGGCAAAGTCAATGTCTTCTTCTTCGCCCAAGCTATCGTTGTCGTCGTCGCTGTTGAGGGCGTTGTCCATCAATGGAATCGCCCGCCGACGGGTGGCGTGGCGGTCCCAGTTGCCTTCGTCCAGCTGACGGCGCAATTGCTTGACTTGGGACCGCGATGCCGTGCCTTCGCTCATGAGCTGCTCGATCTCGTCGATGTCGTGGCGCGAGAAGAGCGATGGGTTCTTGCGCGCCGACTTGGTCAGCGTTTCCGCGTGGCTGTCGTCGGGCTCGTCGTCGTCCGAGTCGTCGGCTTGCTCGTCCATGGCTGTGTTGTGGTGCACCGCCCACTTGTGCTGGATGTAGCCTTCCAGCGCCTGAGGAATGCGCCACTCGCCGCCACTGAACAGCATCGCTTGCATGTGGGCCGGATTGAACAGTGCTTCTTCGAGCTCGGTACACAGGCGTTCGGCGTCGATAGCGAGCCAGTTGTCGGGGGTGATGCGGTAGCAACCAGGCTGGCGCTGCGTGGCTTTGACGAGGAATCGGTCCATGTATCGAAGCACCATGGCCGCCGTGTCGGTACTGAGTCCCATGCTTTGCAGCTCAGTTTCAGCCGCAAGTACAATGTCCGACTCGTCCCCGGCGGGCAGGCGCTTGATGACTTTAGGCTGGGTCATGGAGAATCGCGCGTCCTTGACCACGGAGCCGCGGTAGTTGTGAAGATGCATCGAGTGGCGGGATTGATTTGATGACGATGTTGACTTCAGTCGTGCCGACAGTTCCGTCTTGGCGAGATTTGACTATAGGCATATCACGTTAGACCTTCATCACACGTTGTATGGAGGTCATACCCGAGACGATGCTTTGGTACGTGTGAAGACGAAGGAGCCTTCCGCGGACGACGCAGCCGTAGATGACGACGACGACCGGTGATGATGTGCTCCTTCGGAACTGTTACTTGTACAACGATTGTTCGAAAAGGACGTTTCAGACGGTTCGGCAATCGAGAAACGGGTTTTGGTTTTCCGCATACCACTTCCGGACGATGCTAGACGATCGTGGGACTTGAGGATGGACCTGCCGCTCGACGACTTGATGACGGATGACGCAATGTGGTTGATGTCGTTCATGGTCAACGCCGGTAGCGCAACCAGTGGAGCTGTCGAGGTCACTTGGAGCGTAGAGGTGGATGACTCGAGGTTGTTAGACCGTTCATGGGAGTTGTGATGGCTCGAAGACGTACGTCGTTGCGGCAGACCGCGACCCTTCATGTCTACAGGTGGCGGCATCGGCAATGACTGGGATTTCTCCAGTGGCAGGGGATTTATCAACTGCAATTCTTCCACACGCGACGTCAAAAACGTCTTGAGCGCGTCGAGGAGGACGGCGCTGCCTTGGGTGGACGCGGACGGGTCGCACACAGCGAGATTCTTCTGGGCCTTGCGGTACTCTGTCGTGATAGCCAAGACGCAAGTGATCCACTTGTTGAGTGCATTGGCACGAGTTCGCACCACTGCTTCGGATCGTGCCCCAAAGAACCGTTTCGGGGGAAACACCAACGCCTCAATCTGCTTGGAGACCCTTTGAGACAAATCATCGCCGTCGGTGCAAAGCTTCAGGAGGTCGAGGATGTGGAAACGGAAGCGGCGGAACTCCGAGTACGGACGTCGCACCGTACGCTCATACGCGTCTGTGTAGAAGTCCGCGACGCGGATCACGTACTGGGTCTGCTGGATCGGACTGCAGTCGACGTGGCTGATGTGCACGGAAAGGCCTCGCCTCCTCTCATCTCCCACATGAGAGGACGTCTGATTGTTGCTCGTGTCGTCTCTGATCATCATCGTCGTGATGGTGCTAGCGGTGAAAATGCTCGTTTGATGCGATGTGGTTGTGTGCCGGAATCGTATGGTGTATTATATACCCATACAATTTGCGAGTGTTGTAAGTACACACCTTTTCCAAGTTGAACCTGCAATGCATGGGATGATGTGATTGGCTGATTGGTGAAATCAACCGCGGTTCAACGGTTCAATCGGTCCGGATATACTCAGTTCAAGACAACATATTTCGAGCCAGCAAAGGGTTGCTATAGGACCAATCGGTCATTTACTATGTTATTTCATTTATATTACGTATGCGGATTTACCTATACATTCATCTATTTATCAAATGTTGGGTGCACTTGTGGGCAGAAAGGCCATCCACCTCCATGTGCACGCATCTTCACCCCACGGATTTAGGTGATGGGTACCTTCAGAAACTGAGTTTATATCTTGAGGGTTCAAAGCCCAAGCAGTGCGTTTGGCAGTCTACTGCACCACGGTTCAGCATTGCAAGACGTCAATATAATAGAGCACAACTGTATGTAGTTACAGTAAAAAAAACTTAACGTTACTGTGAATCGTGGGTATTTTTCTCACCATGGATGGCTGTGTATGTGACAAGCTTTGGCTGTACCAGTACTCTACATCCAGACAAATTGATCGATTGTTCGTTCGATTTATTCATGTACATCACTTTCTAACTTTACCGGTAGCTGCGTGATGGAGGTGAATTTTACCGGTAGGATGTGAATACATTCTACTACTACGTAGTAGTACTAGTACCAACGTTAGTATGTCTTGCAATATCCCAAGGAAGCCCAGACGACGGGTAGTGCATGCTCTTCACCCATTATTGCAGAAATTGGCCAGCGAATGCTGTGAGATACTGTAGCCCTTGATTCGTTGAAGCGCAGAGACGCCTGTATACATACTTACTACTACACGAGAGTGTGAGGCAATGCGCGTATTTATATCGATATTCCTATCAAATGCCCAATCTCTAAAAGGGTAACGAGCAGTTGCACAACCTCGTTAGCAGGTTGTTAACGTTAGCTAGGTTCGACTCTACATCGGGCACTGTCTTGGGAGGATGACCTTGGCGAGGTTAGCAGCGGGGACTACTTCATGGCTCTTAGTCGTAGAGCAGCCCCATCAATCTGTCCATACAGCTGAAGTAGTCAACCTTCTTGTTTTCCTGCAATGCTATTGGCCCATCTGCAATGTCCTCGATCTTGAACAGTCGCGAGGGCGGTATCCGGATAAAGATATGTACTTGTATAGCCAGAGTTGAGCAGTACTTCACAATGCGGGTGCTGCGACGTCGGGCCGTAGTTATGATGATGCAGTCTGTCGAAACAATTTCCTTCAGAAGCCGCATTTCGGAGGCACGAAAGACCACCGCTTCGATCTACACTACTACAGGAAACCCTACCAATCGAAACGTATTTCGAATGTTAAGGCGGGCAGTGACTCCTCGCCTAAAATACTCGGGTGGCTTGCCTTGTGGACGACGAGAAAAAAGCTGTAACCACCCTCGACACCGCTGATATGTAGTACGAGGAAACCGCCGTTCGTGATACAGCCAACCACGCACGCCCCATGGTGAATGCCAAGTAACGTTACAGTCAGTACTCGAGGAGTAACTACGACGACAACCACGAGGGCATGCAGCAGTCTTCTTGATGCAACGCAAGCAGTGCCAGGTTTGTCATCGTAAAGGTCCAGACTTGCTTGAGCAAGAACGATGGCGAGCGCACCACTGTGGCGATATTTTTATGTGGCACATCAAGGTAAAATTCGAACCTTCCCACGTTTCCACGGAATAACTTGGTATTTACAGTACGCTGTCCACGGTACCATTCAGTAACGTTCGGTTGCATACAAACCTCAAGGGATTTGGGGATCCGAGGGCGTTCGCTAAAGTTCTCTCTTGGACATCTTGTGTTTTGTATTACATACAAACGTCAAGTGGAATCCTCGCGATCCAAACCATCATGATCTGGGGTCACAGAGGTTGAAGTTGGCCCCAATCTTGACTCGGATTTCACTGATGGTGGGTTCTAATTGAGTATTCTATACAAACGTCAAGATAGTTTTCACTTTCGTGTATTTGGGCGAAGATCCATCACAATACGTTTTGCCCCACTTCGGCCACGAGAAATCGACTGCATCATGTTGCCGCCGCAAGTACAGCTGGAAGCGTTCCAATTCTATGGCTTCGAGTGCCACGGCCTCTTCGCACAAGAAGACCTCCCCGTGAACACCCCTGTGTGGGTTTGGGACACTGTCACGGAGCCCCTTGTCACGTTTACCCGAAAGGAAGTGATGAGTCATCCTGACCGCCAGAAGCTCATCAACTTCTCGTACATGGTCAACGACGACTGCTTTGCCACGACGACGGCACCGGAAGAGGACGCATGCTGGTACTTTAACCACTCGTGCGACCCCAACTGCTGGTTTGAAGGCGATGGCAAAATTGTCACGCGTCGCGCGGTCAAAAAAGGCGAGCAGTTGTGTTACGATTACGCATGCACGGAGACTGAGGTACACATTGATGACGACGTATGCTACAGCCATCTTACACGAGCATTCTAGTCTTCGTTGCATGTGGACATGAACTGTCGGTGCGGAGCCGAGACGTGCCGCGGTCAATTGAAGTTTAACGACTGGAGGAGCCGGGGCTTCATGAAAAAGAACTTGGGCCACGTGACCGACTACATCATGCGCAAACATGCTGAAAACGGGTACGAGAACAAGCGAATCGATGGGTAGCCATGGATGGTGTCGGTAGGAAGAGTAACATATTGACGTGTGGTGTTGTTGAGTAGTTGGTATGACACCCGAATGGAGCTTCGATACAAATCCAAATCGTCGATGGGGCTCTTTTGCCGCGAAGTGTCTGATTGCAAGATCCTTAAAGGCGAAATCGTGCTCATGTTCTCGGGCAAAATCGTGCACAAGGACACGCTCCTCGAGCGCGGGGCCATGACGCCTCGGGACTTTGAAATGTCCCTCCAAGTGCAGCGAGACTTGTGGCAAATTCCGGCTTGGAAGGTATGCTTGTTGATGAATACGACTTGGTTCATGTTTGTTCACGCTTCCTCAGGAGACGGGGGACAAGATCGAAACCAGCGACTACATCAACCACTCGTGCGACCCGTCCTGCGGCATGCTCGACTCGGTGACCGTCGTGGCCATTCGAGATCTGCATCCTGGCGAGGAGATTACGATCGACTACTGCATGGTCAACGACGGCACAAACAGTGACCCGAGCGACAACTTCACATGCATGTGTGGTAGCGTGAACTGCCGCACCACTGTCACCACATTGGACTGGCAAATCCCCGAACTCCAGACACGGTTGGGCCAGTTCTTTGCCCCGTTTGTCAAGCGCGTGATCGAAGACGCGCCGTTCGCTGTTGCGCCGTGAGTAGTTGTCCCCAGCAGTTTAGCATAGAGTAATTTCGAATGGAATCATCGTAACCCGTACTCTTTCATGTAATCCTACGTCGTCAATCCTGGATGGATGTCTCGTGTTAAGCGCTGTTTGCAAGCGCAACCTCCAGATCTGCACTTGAAAGCCCATCTCACGCCGGCTCGAGTTCCAGCGCTCCTTATCACTCGTTGGTCGCATAGTTCCCGCAGAATCAACACATCGCTCGACATCCCAGGCGGAACGGACGAGGGAGCGCCGATTCACAGCCGTCCAGCACCAGTTGCATAGTCGAATTGCATGATCCGAAGGCCAAAGATACGTTTGAAACGATTTGATTGGCTGATCTGGATTCACGACAAAGGTGTTTTTCCCAATGGTTGAGGCTGGGATTTAAGTGTACTACGCTGGAAATCACACAATCCAATCACAACGCTGAAGGACAACCATGAAGGTGCCGCACCAGCAGCACGCTTGAGATGATGCTCATGTGCACATGTTTGCAATAGACTCTGGTAGAGATCCAAGTCTACCGTGCTGTGTGGACAGCGTGCTGGCCCATTGTGAGGTGGCTTGTTCGGGCGAAAGACACGCGGCGGAAGGTACCGGCAAGCGTGTCGATTGAAAGGACAGGTGACGCCATACCACCAGGTAAGGTGCTGACCACTTATGCGCATCGTACCCACAACATCCTAGACCATTTCCGATCAAGTCCACGCGGGGTGGTGTGGATTCACGGTGCCTCTGTCGGCGAATGCTTGAGTGCTTTACCGTTGATCAAGGTGATCACCGACGAATCCAAGGACGCTTCGACGATGCCACCATGTCAAGTGCTCGTGACTACAACGACACCAAGCGCGCGGGCCTTGCTCACACAGAGACTTGTGTCTGTACGTGTCATATCTCCAATCAACATATATACGCATTCACATGCATCGTAGAACCCCAATGCCCATTGCATCTTTGCTCCGCTGGACCATGCTCCGTGTGTGCGGCGATTCTTGGATACTTGGCAGCCAGTGTACGTCCCTCTATCCCGCGCATCGATGCTGCTGCTAACGACGATTTGGCAGGGCGGCGATATGGATCGAGTCGGAACTGTGGCCCAACATGCTTGTCGAAACCAGCTCACGCCAGGTTGCCCTGTCGTGACCATGATGGAATCGCGAAGACGCCCATCTCTTTTGGATAGATTTCTATGGCGCTTCTAAATGGCCGCATGTCAACTCGATCGTTCAATCGATGGAATTCGTGGATGGGTCGACGGCTGGCGCGTTCGTTGCTAAGCCACTTCGAGACCGTGTGGTGCCAGAGCCCCCAAGTACGACCCATGTCTAAGCAACACATCTCTAACAGGTTGCTACTGATGTGTGTGTATGTCTAGGACATGCATCGGTTTCAAGCCCTAGGTCTCTCGGATACTGCTAAATACATTGGCGATTTGAAATTTTGTACGTTTTGTACGACGACCCCTTCGCCCTTTTATGGGATTGGGTTTGTAGTGACCACGAAAGCCGACATGGACGCCACATCCTTGGACAACCTCAAGCGCGCAGTCGAGTCGCGCGTCGTGTGGACGGCTGCCAGCACCCATGAAGGCGAAGAAGCCTTGGTGGTGGAAGCCCACGTCGACCTCTTGCGTCGCCATCCCCGTCTCTTGTTGGTGCTCATCCCCCGCCATCCCCATCGAGTCACTTCGATCGTTCAAGCCATACAGTCCAAGGTACTATTGTATGTATCTGCTGCCGTTGCAATCATCATCACAAGGACATTTGCAGCATCCCCTCGTCAACGTCACTCTCCGGTCGCGCCACGGCGTCCCAGAAGCCAACTCGGATGTGTTTATTGTCGACACCATGGTACATATGATCCCTTGCGAGGCGCTCTACCGACCTGTGTCGTCAATAACAGTATATGGCGTAGGGCGAAACCCAAATGTGCTACGAAGTGTCGCGGGTGGCGTTTGTGGGGGGTACGTAATACAGCACCACCACACAACGTCGGTCTATATCACTTTGGGTTCATGTATTCTGATTCTGGGTCGTGTATTCTGATTCTGATTCTGGTGCAGGGTCGTTGGTTCCGATAGGGGGCCACAACGTCCTCGAGCCGCTGCGGTCGGGGTGCACTGTGCTCCATGGTCCGCATATGGCCAACTTTACTTCGGTCGTTCAGACATTGGGCACGTCGCCCCACGTGGTGCAAGTGACGGCGTCGACGCTCGTTCCGACGTTGGACCGAGTTTTCCTTGAGGAGTCGTCGACCCGTTCTCGTCAACTCGAGTCGTTGGAGCCCATTCAACGCACCATGTGGACTCACGTTTATCGCTTCTTAAACGCGATCCAAATATAACCACAAGTGTGTCGCGAATTTTTTATATACAGTGGGCCAGGACTACTAATATGGACGGTATCGGTCCGACTTGGGCCCGCCTTGGCCTGGCGGACCACCACCTTGTCGCGGGTAGCTGCCATAACCACCATACCCGCCCGACTGGTCGTCGTACGGCGCGCTACCCTCGGGAGGTGCCGAGCCTTCGGACGGAGGAGGGGCACCCGACGGGTCGTAACCCGGGTATCCTCCGTAGCCAGGGTACCCGCCGTAGCCGCCATAACCACCCGGGGCACCAGGCGCGCCGTAGCCACCCGCGTAGCCTCCGTAGCCGCCGTAGCCCCCGCCGCCGTAGCCGCCACCATACCCGCCCGCGTAGCCACCGCCATAGCCGCCACCGCCATAACCGCCACCGTATCCACCGGCGGGAGCACCGCCACGACCGCCGCGACCACCGTAGCCGCCTCCGCCACCATAGCCGCCTCCCCCGTAGCCGCCGCCGCCATACCCGCCGGGGGCACCATACCCGCCGCGACCGCCTCGACCGCCGTAGCCGCCTCCGTACGACCCACCGCCGCGACCGCCGTAGTCGTAGCCGCCTCGGCCCCCGCCGCGCACTTCGCCCTTGGGCTCTGCGCGTTTGATTTCGACGACTTTGCCGTGCAGTTCGTGGCTCTTGCTGATAACTTCGGCAACCGCGCCTTCCTCTTCAAAGCTCACAAAGCCAAACCCGCGGGAGCGTTGCGTGTCGCGGTCCATCATGACAATAGCGTCGGTGATCTTGCCAAAGTCCTCGAAGTACGCGCGAAAGTCGTCGTTCGTGACCGATGGGGGCAGTCCCCCGACAAAGATCTTCTTCGACTCGGACGGGCGACCTCCGCCGTTACGATCACTAGGCACGACAAGGAGCATGAGGGGCATGCAGGACGGGTCTATTGGTCGCGAGAGAGGGAGAGAGAGAGACAAGGGGTCGGGACTCATCAATTGGTCGTGTTTTTGGTTTCAACTTGCTTGCCAACTCTCTCACTGCGTCTGCGGCACGTCGACTACAGACGATCTCTCCCTCTCTCTCGACCCGCGAAAGCCACACAGACGACACTACTACACATAAGCTAATGACGAACCTATAACTGCCTCCACCTCCAGACGAGGGAGGACCTGCGCGACCACCACCAGCGCTATCTCGAGGAACTGCGCGTTTCACTTCTACGTTGCGACCGTCCAACGTGTGTGTTTCGCTAAGCACTCGGTCGACCACTACACAACTACTGCATGAGGGGGGGGGATGATATGGTACACTCGTCTTCGGGACGACATAGGAGGGAGGGCGTCAACAACCTGACGCATCTTCAAAGGTCACAAAGCCAAACCCACGCGGCTGGCCCGAATACTTGTCCTTCATCAATGCCGCGTCGGTCAACGCACCATACTGTCCAAAATGCGACCGCAGGTTGTCTTCGGTTGTTTCCCAGCTCACCCCACCAACAAAGATCTTGCCAGCTCCTTGCGACGCAGGAGCTGGTTGATAGCTTCCACCGACGTTGCTACCGCCTTCGTGCGAAGGATGCTGTCCGTACGATGACGAAGGCGTGGGTTGGTACGATGACGATTGGTCGGGATAGCCATAGCTGCTGTTGTGGGGTTGATGCGACGACTGCTCGGGCTGGTCGTGAGGAGCGTGATGGCGCCCTTCATGTGCAGAGCTTCCCAGGTTGTCCACTTCTTGGTGATGGTCGTCTTGTTCGTATACAACGCCGTCCATGGTGTCCTCAGGAGCGGTCGGTGGAAACTGCGAATGGGACGGCCAATGAGTGGTGGGGGGTGGTATTTAATTCGAACCCCAAAGTTCTGAAATTAATTCGTCAAAGTTGAAGCCACTCTCTACAAAATCAAAGGTAATATTTTAAATAAGTCTCAATTCCCTCCACGTTTTATGAGTATGGACGGGTTTTGACACCTTCGTCAGCATAAGTTCGTGTACAGTACTTATCTGAAATCAATGATAGAAAAATATACATTTTGAACGTTAATATTGTGGATATTCGATACGAATTTCCAGACGACCCCCCGTCGAATCGAATCTCGCCGCCGAATCACGAATGGACGCTATTGGCTAATCCATTTTTGAGTGGATTTGATTGGCTCTTGCAGACAGTATATTCAACCAATCAGAACTCCGGCGTGATTCAAGATTGATTCGACGAATTTTGGAATAAATGAATCTTCATTTTCGTGTATATGTACATTGACTGCATCCCGAATGCTCCAAACCAGCAGTGTGTCGTGATGCTTGAATGGGATTGTGGTTATTCACAGTCAACACTACTAAGCCTCGGGGTGTTCCTTGTCGAGCATTTTGCGGTAAATGGCTTCGACTTGATCTTCTCCCGTCACGCGGATCTTCAAATCGCGGATAATGCCGTCCTTCAACCTACGAGGACTCGGATGATGATGTCCATCCACTATGGTGACATCATGATCAACGCACGAACCGATAGCACCATCCATGGACGTTGAGCTCCTGGCCGCGGAGCCACGCGTTCTGAACGATGCGGGTGTGGCAGATGTTGTACACCGACTTGGCCACGTTGAGCTCGGTCATGAGGTCTTGGCGCTCCTTCTCGTCCGTGATGCGTTCAAACTGTTGGTGGTTGGTGATGTACAGGTCCTTGATGTTGCGAAGCCAGTTGTCCACGAGGCCAAATTCTTGTTGGGTCAACGCAGCATTGACTCCGCCGCAGCCATAATGGCCACCTAGACAACCACAGTCAGGACGATCTGTCTTTGATTGGGGCCAAATCGAGGAGAATGTACGCACAGACGACTACGTGCTTGACTTTCAACACGGCCACGGCGTACTCCAACACGGACAACGCGTTCAAGTCCGTACTAACTACAGGTAGAACACATGTGATTAGAGAGGGTGCTCCTTCGACTGAGTGGAAAGGTCGAGAGAGGGGCGTACTGAATTGGTTGGCGATGTTTCGGTGCACAAACACATCGCCGGGCGGCAAACTGAGGATTTGGTTCGCGGGGACGCGCGAATCCGAGCATCCTATTCCCCAAGTAAGACATGGAACTCACGTTAACATGCGTCACCGATCCACAGCACTTCAGGCGCTTGTTGGTGCTCCAACTTGGCAAAGTACGTCGGGTCTTCCTTTTGCACTTTGGCCGCCCACTTCTTGTTGCGTTCGAGCAGCTCGTGCAATCCCTTTTCGCCAGTCGAGATGCTGGCAAAGGTGCGCGCTAGACACCTCCATGAGTATATGGCAGCGACATCTTGGTGACAAACCTGGCAGCACTCGCGGCACCACAGATCGGACAACTCGATGGAACATGGTTTGGAAAATTGGAAACTGACAGGACGTTCGAAACTCACCACACGTATTTATACTACGTCGTATCCGGATAAGATCTCTGGTTCCATAAAATGAAAATTAAGTTGCCGCTCCCGATAATTTAAACAAATACAAGCACTACTACTCTGTATTATAACGGCTTGACATTATCCGGATGCGGCTGGCCACTCCAATGACGTGATGTGGGCACTGCGATGACGGGAGGGGAGGCGGCGGTCGGTTTGTTCACAATGGACGCGTGAGCTGGCGAGTTCATTCCCATCGTCCCTTGGATCTGCGATAGAGTGAAGCTTTGGTCATTCTCGGACTGGCCCTGCGAAGTGTCTCACATGGATTGCTCCGGCGTCATCAACCAAAACGAGCATGCAAATTACAGTTGTACGGCCCACCACGTTGAAGTGTCCAAATTTAGTAGTCCTACAGTAACGTTTACTACAGTAGTAGCTTACTACTACTGGTACCGTAAAGACTGAACTATTACTAGTCCTAACGTTAACCTACTGTAATACTAACAGCCTAACTTCGGACTTCTTTGGGGGCCCCATTGTCCGCAGCATGTTTCAGTCACGCTTTCACCCCGTGAATTCAAAAGGCAAAGATGGACTCTAGGTCGTTCCGATCTTGTGGGGGTGTCAACTTATCAATTGCGCCGGCGTAAACTCACTGGAAACGGAAGGCGCTGCTACAGTAGAACTGTAGTACCTTACTGTAGTTCTCTTGAGCTTGTCAAGCGCATTGATGCAGCGAGAACTTCGCCAGAAGCAATTACAAGGTACTGAGATCTGTGCAGGACATACTAGTATTGTACTAAGTGGTATATGCATAGCAGGGGACAGGTGGCGACGGTTAACCCTCTCTAACACCCCCCGATTAAACCCACACAGGGAAAACGTACGTAGCTTTACAGCTCTGGGCTTTCCTTTTCCTGCATCTTGCGGTAGATATCTTCGACTTGATCTTCGCCCGAGATGCAAATCTTCAAATCTCGAATGATCCCGTCCTTTAACCTGCAAAATAGCCCCATGAGGCCACAGAGAGTCAACGGCAATGTCGTACGAACCGGTAGCACCAGCCATGGATGTGCAGTTCCTGCCCGCTTTGCCACGCGGTTTGCACGATGCGCGTATGGCAGACGTTGTACACGGCCTTGGCCACGTTCAGCTCTGTCAGCAAGTCGGATCGCTTCTTGTCGTCCGATATGCCTAAACCAGAGTCAACAAGTCCACGAGTTGGACGCATGCCATCGCGTACGGCCGAGAACGTTGGCGTTATCGCTGTAAATGTCCTTGATGCTGCGAAGCCAATTGTCGACCAGTCCAAACTCCTTCTGGGTCATGGCAGCATTCACGCCCCCACATCCGTAATGACCACCTGCATACATGCATGGAGGTTCGACGTATGATTCCCATCATCATGTGTTTGATACATGGACGTACACACAATGATGTGCTTCACTTTCAGTGCCGTGACGGCGTACTCCAACACTGACAGCGCGTTCAAGTCCGTGCTCACTAGTACATGCGGTCATCACACATGAGGATACCAATGTGAAGTCGTACAGAATTGGTTTGCAATGTTGCGATGCACAAACACCTCGCCCGGCGGCAAGTTGAGGATTTCGTTCGCCGGTACGCGAGAGTCCGAGCATCCTAATGTAGGTTGCATGTACACGTCAGATTGGGTGTTCCATCCTCCACATGAGAAGAAAGGTTGGAGTACCAATCCACAACACTTCAGGGGACTGCTGGTCCACGAGTTTGGAAAAGTAGGTCGGGTTTTGCTTCTTGATGTCATGTGCCCACTTCTTGTTCCGTTGGAGCAGTTCCTGCAACCCCTTTCGTCCATGCGAGAGGGTAGACATGCTTCCAGAGGACACTCCTACGCCCATCCATCATGTTGGTGACACTTCTACCTACGGGTCCATCCTCCTACGGTACCCATGGAGGTCACACTCGTTCGCACGCCGCGCGCAAGTCGTCCAAACATCGTCACTCCGAAAACTGCACAATGCGAAAAAGTGCGCAATCCAATTCATATGGATGGGATGGGATGATCAATAATATTATAAACCTTGATAATATTATTTTCGTCGACGGATACTATAAACAAGTCATTTTTATGAATTACTTCACGTATTTTATTGTCCATCATGCGTGTCTTTGGCACGGAAAAAATACTATTCATAGCACTACTATTAATAATAGTACTACGCCTGTATATCAGACGACAAATAATAGCATGATATTGATTAGTATTACTCTAAAAGTCGGAAATTGAGAAATATTATGTTAATCCTACTTCGATAAATTCAAGGGGTGTGTGTATGTACGAGGGTACATATCGTACTATTAGGCAGCCGCGACGGACGACGACCCGACGATCTCTGTCACCATCTTCGTGTAGGCTTTGACCTTCCGCTCCATGCGCACATATGTCTACACCAAGTCAAGCACCACCATATTCAATCGGCGAGTCGCACCTCCTCCATGTCCTTGAGCGTGAGTTCGAACGCTTCTCGGTCGTGGTTGAGCTACACCGGCGTCAGGGGTATATACCACTACCATCTTGCTCCATATTACCATGGCGTGGGTCTCCTGCACTGCTTGCAACTTGGCGGCGACTTGATGCTCGTTGGAGAGTTTGTGCTGCCGCCATTGATCCACTTCCTTGGCTGCCGACGCCACCGCCTACTCCAATGTGATTCCCTTCGTCCATCCATCGAGCTATTTTTACATGTTCGGCCGCTTGCATCTTGGTACGTGCTTGCTGCTTGTACACTTCCAACTGGTCTCGGCGCTGGTCAAGCAGGATCTCCACGCGCTACACATACAGTAATACCTCATTTTCATATCCAACACACAATTAAGACACGGAGACATACATTCCCACATAGCAGTTTCATACGATCGAACACACACAATGACATACATTCCCACACCTCGTTTTCATATTATATTTTTCATTTTTTAAAATATCCAACACAGTTGAAGACACGGAGACATACATTCCCACATAGCAGTTTCATAC